TTGCCCAACCTTCCTTCCGAGGAGTGGCTGGTGGGTTTGAACCGCCTGCCTTCTGGTTAGCAGTCAAGTGCCTTAGCCACTATGCTACCAGAGCATGTATTCCTTTCATTTTGTTCATACCATATATGTCTACAAATAGTTAGGAGTTTAAGGGGGAAGTTTAAGGATCTTTCTTTTTTTTTTTAAGTGTTATGTTTCCATGCTTTGTGTGCATTCTCACATTTACCACACTGTTCCCCCTCCATCCTCCCTGTTTCTGGCCTAGAAGTTGAGAACTGGAACAGGTGGTGGTGGTGTACATTTGCCCTCACTCCAGTTCCCCACCCCAGAGTTCTTGCTTCCCCCTTTCCAGTCTGAACTTTCTTTTCCAGATGCTCATTCCTTTTATAACTTTACTCATTAATTACTATGGTGTCCCGCTCTCCCCTTTAATTGATTCTTAGCTGTACTGTATTCTGTCTCCTCAAGTCTTAGGTAGTGTATTCAGTGCATTCTTCTTCCCAAATGACAAGTGTGCATAGGAATTTGAAGCACAGTTGGGGAGGTGGTTTCTTTGACCTAGGAGGCTTCATTCTCTTAAATTCACCTTTGTGTTGTTGTTGTGTGCCCATCGAGTCAGACCTGACTCAAAGCGACCCTTCCTTGGGTTTCCGAGGCAGTATCACTACGGAAGTAGATTGCCCCATCTTCCTTCTAAGGAGTGGCTGGTGGATTTGAACCGCCAGCCTTCTGGTTAGCAGTCAAGTGCCTTAGGCACTATGCTATCAGAGCTCCCAAATTCACCTTTGTTGTTGTTGTTGTTATGGACCGTCGAGTCGGACCCGACTCATAGCGACCCCTCCTTGGGTTTCCGAGGCAGTATCACTATGGAAGTAGATTGCCCCATCTTCCTTCTGAGGAGTGGCTGGTGGGTTTGAACCGCCAGCCTTCTGGTTAGCAGTCAAGTGCCTTAACCATGCTACCAGAGCTCAAGGTTAGCAGGCAGTATACTGGTTGTTGACTCCAACAAATGACGAATCTAAGATCTCCAGGCCAAATGGTGGATTGTTCGCTCACGGACAGTTGTAGGCGGCACAACAGGATCCCAATCCACAGAAGAGTGTCTCTTTTCCCAGGATGTCCATAACTATACTGGAAGCAGGCCACACCTCCCGGGGAAACTCCCTTTCAGTGGATTGGCTGTTCAAAACATATACAACTGATCCCATCATTGAAACAACCCACATCACAATACCGTAAACCACACAGAATTGTGGTCCAGCCAAGTTGACACACAGCTCCAACTATCACAGAGACCCAGGCGGGTCAGGCCTGGGCCTCATCACCTCTGGCTTCAAGGGAAGGAGATTTCCAGGGAAGCAGGTACCAGCTCAACACAAGGAGGGACTTTCTTTGACAAGTCACTGGACTGCCTTGAGAGGTAGTGATCTCCCCATCAGCACAGGTGTGCAAGGGGAGGCTGGCACCCACTCACGAGGAAGGCATGTTGGAAGGAGGGCACTCACATCTGACCCGGGTAGGCCGGGGCAAGGTTTCCAACCCGAGCCTGGTGATTTTGTGGTGGGGGCTGTGCACTGTAGGGTGGTCAGCCACATCCCTGGCCTCCACTCCCTGGTGCCAGTAGCACCCAGCCCCAAGTTGTGACAACCAGACATGGCTCCAGGCACAGCAAGATGCCCTTGGCAGTGGGGCAAGGGGGCCCTCTAGGGGGTTGTTACCCCTCCCAGAGGCCAAGAGCCCCAGGCCCAGGTCAGCCCCCACCCTTTCTTGCCTGAATGATGGGAGTGAGGAGGAGGAGCAGTGTCCCCAGAGGGTCTGTGTTCAGACTCTCACAGCCCTGCCCTAGGACTACCCCGTGTCCATGACTCCCTTGGGTGGGGATGGGGTGCCTCTGGGCCACCTGCATGCTGGCTCTCTGAAGTCTCAACTGACCCTCTGCCCCTGGGGCTGGTGGAGACCTCTGTGGACCCCGAAAGAAGCCCACTCAGGTGGATCAGCGGGGCTGCATCCCAGTGGTGTTTGTGGGTGCAGGATAAACAATTCACCTTTAGGGAAGCTAAATGAATGCACAGGATCCCACAGTAACTGCTGTTAACCTTCAGGATCATAGTGTAACCCTGTTCACATGTTTGGTTTCTTAATTCTAGAGAGAAAAAAATGTGGCCTCTCTGTGGTCTTCAAATGCGCATTGTCTCTTACTAGTGCAGGGAAGAGAGGACCCAAGTGATGATCGGTGTTGCTCTTGTTTCAAGAGCTTTTGAAAAAAATAAGAGTTTACTATTTATTTTTCATTTGAATATGCTTATAATGAAAAACTTATGTGCTGAGCCATCAATGTCTTTTTCAAGACAGTTTCACTCCAAAATATTTTAGTATGCATGCTAATAAATAAGTTATTTTATATATAGCCACAATATATTGTCAAAAATTAATACTAATCTCTTAATTTTATCTAACACACAGTCTATAGTCACATTTCAATGCTTTTCTCAAGCAAGGTTTTTGTCTTTTTTTTAGTAGTTGGTCAAATTAGGAGGTAAAGAGCAATCATTAGTTGTCTTAGTTGTTTTTTCTCTTCGATATTTTAAAATCTATACTTTTCTTCTACCTTTTTAAATAATTTTCTTTATATGGTGGAGAAACCAGATTATTTGCCCTGAAGAATTTCCCATATTGGCTCATAGCTTCCTCATAGTATCAGTTGACTTGTGTCTCTAACTCTATTTCCTGTAAACTAAAAAGGGCTCACTTTCTAACAAGGCCTGATTATATTCTGGTTCCATTTTTCTTTTTCTTTTCTGGCAAGAACAGTTAATAAATGGTGTTGTGTACTTCTGTTGCATCACACTGGTAGGGACATAATGTCTGATTGCTCTAGTGTTACTAATGCTAAGACTGATGAGAAGGTTAGGTCCACAGCCTGCTTCTTTCTCATAAAGCTCCCCATCAGCCTTTCATGTTATACTTTTAGCAGTTATTGATGATCTTGCAAAATGGAGATTTTGTAATTCCATCCTTCTTCCTGCATTTATTAGTTGGGATTCTTTATATGAATTACTTTTCTATCAATTATTTGGTTACAATGAAATAGAGTTTGAACAGGAAAAATAGTATATATTCTTTAGTCTTTCCTTTAATTTAGGAGTTTTCAGAATAATGAATTAGGGCAATCTCTAGAGGTGGTTGACCATTAAGTTGTTTTCTACTTTTTTTGGGGGTGGTGGTGGTGAATAGGTGGGAGGGATGGCTTAGGAGCTAATTATAAATCTATTATTAATATATAAAAATTAAAAAAAAATATATTTGATGTCGTTGAATCACTTGTAGTCATATTCTTTTTGATATTCAAATTGTCCCATCCTTGGCCAGTAGAGGCACCTTCTACTTGGTTTCTGTGTCATCTTGACACTACCCCGTTAGTCTGTGCTATTAACTTCCAGGCAGCAGTTTCCTCCTCTTTAAGTAATTGGGTTAGTTAGTTGGTCTTCAAGATTCCTTCTAGTTCTAGTATCTCTTCCTTTTCTTTGATACTGCATTTTAATATTCTATAGTTAAGTTTCTTAAACTAAAGACTATTGTTTTGATCTTTTTTCTTTAAGGCACCAACTGGATGAATTAATGCATTTGAAAATATGAAATGTTTTTGTTTCTTACTCTGGGATGATCTTTCAGCTTCTGGTATGTGACACTGGCTCAGGACAGCTTTACACTCTTTACTCAAATTCTAGATAGGAAAAACAAAAACAAAGCAGAAGTGGTACAAACATTTCCATACTTTCAAGACTGTAAAGAGGCTTACCAAGGAAATCCCTGATTTTAAAAACAGATTGGTTTTGAAATATATTCAGTTCAGCTGCATAGTTATTATTCCAAATGTGATATTTTTCTTATCTTTTATGTGGGATACTAGACAGGAAGAACAGATAGTGATCTTTCATGCCTAGGACTGGAAAAGCAGAATGGTGAGCGAAGAAGGGTCTGAGACACCCCAGTGAGCTGGTCAAGGGAGCCCAGAAGGCTGCATAGCTGGCCAGGGCTTGCCAGATGGCTGTGGAGAGGCCTGCCTCAGTTCCTACAAGCTGGGAGCTGGAGCCGGTCCATCCAGGCAATTGGGCCAAGTCCCTGAGGCTCTTTTAGACCAGAAGGTACAACTAGAGGGAAGCATGGATTTAAATTCTGTGGCGTAAGAGAAATGCTCAGAGCATGTAAGAAGGAACTCAGAATGATTTTTAGTAGATTCTTGAAGGACACTGTCTCATACCAAAACATACATAATAAAATTTTAAAAGGGTCTTGAGTTCTGCTTCCTTCTGTACCCTGTGGAGCCTTGTTGACTTCAAAGCCAGCTCTGTTGGGTGCAAGGAGGAAAGAGCATGCTTTTATTTCTAATTTTGGCACAAATCCACCTAACTATTTTTGATGGCCAGGAGACAAACCTTTCATTCCCTCTAAACTCATATGCATTAAAAAAAAAAAAAAAACCCGAAAAACAAAACTCACTGCTGTCAAGTTGGATCTGACTCATAGGGACCCCTCCTTGGGTTTCTGAGGCGGTGTCATTATGGAAATAGATTGCCTACCCTTCCTACTGAGGAGTGGCTGGTGGGTTTGAACTGCCAGCCTCTGGTTAGCAGTCGGCACTATGCCACCAGAGCTCCCTCATATGCATTTAGCAGGTATTTTTTGTTGTTGGGTGCTGTTGAGCTATTCTGACTCATAACAACCCTATGTACATCAGAATGAAACAGTGCCTGGTCCTCCTCCATCTTCACAGTTGTTGCCATGTTTGAAACCATTGTTGCAGCCATGGTATCAATCCATCAGAAGTGAGGGTCTTATTCTTTTTTGCTGAACCTCTACTTGCCAAGCATGATGTCCTTCTCCAAGGATTGGACCCTGCAGATAAAATGTCCAAAACATGTGAGATGAAGTCTCACCATTCTTGCTTCCAAGAAACATTCTGGCTGTACTTCTTCCAAAACAGATTTGTTTGTTCTGGCAAGCCATGATACATTCAGTATTCTTCACCAATACAGTAATCCAAAGGCATTCGTTCTTTTTTGGTCTCCTTATCCATTGTCCAACTTTTACATGCATATGAGGCAATTGACAATACCATGGCTTGGGTCAGGTGTATCTTAGTCCTCTAAATGGCATCTTTACTCCTTAACACTAAACAGGTCTCTTGCAGCAGATTTTCCCTATGCAATATGACCTCTGATTTCTTGACTGCTGCTTCCATAAATATTGGTTGTGGATCCAAGTAAAATGAAATCCTTGAGAACTTCTGTCTTTTCTCCATTTATCATGATGTTGCTTATTGGTCCAATTGTGAGCATTTTTTTTTTTTTTTTTTAATGTTGAGGTGTAATCCATACCATAGACTGTAGTCTTTAATCTTCATCAGTAAGTGCTTCAAGTCATCTTCACTTTCAGCAAGCAAGATTGTTTCATCTGTATATCACAGGATGTTAATGAGTCTTCTCCAATTCTTATGCTGCATTCTCTTCATATAGTCCAGCTTCTCGGATTATTTGCTCAGCATATTTATTGAATTAGTATGGGGAAAGGATACAGTCCTGATATTTACCTTTCCTGGTTTTAAACCACACAGTATTCCCTTGTTATCTGAAATGACTGACTCTTAGTTTATGTACAGGTTCTTCATGAGCACAATTAAGTGTTTTGGAATTCCCATTCTTCTCAATGTTATCCATAATTTGTTGTGATCCACACAATCAAATGCCGTTGCATAGTCAATAAATCACATGTAAACATCTTTCTGGTATTCTCTTCTTTCAGCCAAGATCCATCTGACATCAGCAATGATATCCATTTTTCCATACCCTCTTCTGACTCCAGTTTGAGTTTCTAGCAGTTCCCGGTTGATGTACTGCTGCAGCCATATTTGAATGATCTACAGAAAAATTTTATTTGTGTGTGATGTTAATGATACTGTTTGATAATTTCTGCATTATGTTGGATCACTTTTCTTTAGAATGGGCATAAATATGAATCTCTTCCAATTGGTTGACCAGGTACCTGTCTTCCACATTTCTTGGAATATATGAATTAGGGCTTCCACCATTGCATCTGTTTGTTGAAACATCTCAGTGGGTATTCTGTGCATTCCTGGAGCTTTGTGTTTTTGCCAGTTCCTTTAGTGCAGATTGGACTTCTTCCTTCAATATCATCTGTTCTTGATCATATGCTACCTCCTGAAATGGTTGAACATCACCCAGTTCTTTTTGGTACAGTGACTCTTTGTAGTCTTCCATCTTCCCTTGATACCTTCTGTATTGTTCAATATCTCACCCATAGAATGCTTCAGGATTACAAGGCGAAGCTTGTATTGTTATTTTTTTTCTGTTCTTTCAGCTTGAGAAATGCTAAGTGTGTGTGTGTGTGTTTTAACTCTAGTCTTTGCACATTTCATTATAATACATTGACTTCTTGAGCTGCCCTTTAAAATCTTCTGTTCAGCTCTTTTACTTCATCATTTCTTTTTTTTTTTTTAATTAGGATTTGGGTAAAGATTTACAGAGTAAATTCACTTTTCATACAGCAGTTCACATATACTTTGTCTCATGTCATTGACCAAAATTTACAATGCAGCAGCTCCCCTC